CATTGTAAATTTCATCTTTTTTTTTTTAAATTTTGCCTGTATTGGCTGACTTTTACGCAAAATATGACAAAACCAAAGAATACAGTAGAAAATTAGTATTCAAGATTGGTAAACCAAAAATAGTTCTATAGCAATATATGTGCTGAAAGAAAGATATTTTTGCAATCATTTGTTAGTGCTTTTCATTTATTCATTCATTCTTTTATTTCATCATTTGTTTATTCTCTTGTTATTTTAGTGTATAGACCTTCTCTACATATTTGATCTCAAAATAGTTCAATTTAACTTGCCTTATAAAATTTCTACCTTGTAATTGGGCTATGATAGAATTTTGGTAGTTATTATTTAAAGTTTCCGTTTTATGTTACTATATCTCAATATTTCTGCTGATTTCAAATGCTTTAATATTCTCTTTACCAAATTCAGGAAACCAGGCTATCAAACTGTTATTTCTATCATGATACAGTTTGGAGCAAGTATTATAAAATACTGTTTAGTATACTTCATATATAGAGTCAATTCTTACAAAATATTCTGATCTATTCATAATGAAGGAATTATATGGGTTGTTATGATGATACAAAAGAAATAACTGTATCAAGGTGGCTATATATTTCCAATGTTTCACAGGACCAGTTGTCAGAAAACAAAATTCATTATATTTGATATTTGTGGTATCTTATTGCAATTTAAAGGTATTACAACCAACTCAAATTTTAATTGAAATATGACACTGACTGTAGAATATTTTATGTTTGGTACTGAGGTCCTTCAGATGAACTGGTTTTTAATAACTTGTAAGGAAGGAGGTTGAGGTAAAAAGTGTAAATAATAATGTTATATAGCTGACTATTATACTGATAACTTGTAATGTTTATTATTATTATTAATAATGTGCCAAGATTATTTTAATAGACAATGTTATGTCTTTAATCAACGACACAAACTTTCTACTATCTACTGAGTTGTTTCTTAATAAAACAGTTAGAACTAATCAAGAAGTATACAGTGTTTTATTTATGATGTGTCACAGCCTCTTTTCGAATTCATATCAGAAATTTTGTTGAATTAGTACCTTAGAATTTGAAAGATTTAGTAAAATTCCAGCATGTACACAATGTTATAGGGGTTGAGAGAAGATATTAAACCTTTGAAAATATGGTTTTAATTTAACAGATTTATAGCACAACTTCCATCTGATTGAAAATTTAAAATTATCTTTCTTTCACAGACAGAGTGAATGTTAAATATTTGTGGAGTATTTGTTTTGAAACAACTCAGTAAGATTGTTAGAAATAATGATTTTGTAGATTATAAAGTAAAGTCTTCCAATACTTTGTATTACAGTAATATTTCTTTGTGCTCTTTAAATCATTTTGATACTTTAATGTATACTTGTACATTTCTTATTCATTTCACTTTCAACTTCTATGTTTTGTTCAAGTTGAATTCATTAGTAGTAGTTCTAGCACATTTCATAATAGCACATGCTCAATAGCTATAGATCAATGTAAGAATAGTTTTAATTACATAGCTATCTATGAAAACATCCATGCCACCTTCCACGTGCACATACAGGCAGCGTAACCTGGAGAAATATATTTAACTAAGATCAAATATGAATAAGTTTTACTGTTTCCATGATTTACTCTACTATATTATTTGGTAAAGGTGTTTTTGTACTGATAGTTTCTGTCAGAATATTAATGAAAAAGTGAAATCAAAGTGCCATGTTTGGAGACATATTTTCTCTAATCAAGTGCAGGTTATATTTTATTATCATCTTGGTTCTGTTCTAATATAGATTGATATTTTAATCATACTTCTATTTTATTAGGTTATTATTGTAGCTAATTGTTGTTATATTGTTCAAACAGGGTAGTTTATGTCAAATTTCATATTTTCATTCTTAAATCATTCTTGGTAAAGGTTGTTCCAAATTGTTACAAAATTATTTTCATTTAAAGAAAACAAATTTTATTAGTAAAAGGAAGTTCATTGAATTTTATGACATTAGTCAGGGAAAATCTAGAAACACCAAGAAATCATTCTCATATCACTGCCAAACTTCACATCAAGTGTTCATAGGTTCGAGTCATTTAGCTTTGGTGTATACAGTATAACATTTAGACTTGACACCTTCTTTTTTTTGGGCTCTTAAAAATAATACAATACCAACCATTTGAAAACTATTAATCAGGTATAATATTCATTGAATTTCATACAGATTAAAAAAAAAAGAATTATAAATGAAAGAATGCTGTAAATTTGATATTTCAATATCAAAGTTAGAAATCAAAGTCTGAAAGTTATATTATCTGAAAGTTATATAAGTTTTTGACAACAAATGACTCAACCTACTAAATTCTAATCAGTCAAAATTGAAAATTTGACTATTATTATAATTATTTACTATGCCTATCTGTGCAATAAATATGACCATTTATTTTCAATTTACAACAAATTCAAACAAAACAATCATATTTATTCAATTTCAAAATTTTGTTTAAAACTATGAATGTTATGGTATACTGAAAATGAAATAAGTACAATTTTAGTTCTATCTTATTGGTATATATCTGTCATGGTATATTCAACATATTAAAAGTATACAATATTTACTACGGTACTATGAATAAGAAATTAAGTAAAGTATTTGTGCAATTCTATAAAATTAAGTTGATTAAGTAATTATTATTGTGGATCTTGTATATTATGTATATATTATAATATTATCAATAAATAGCAAAAATACACTCTTTTTTGTTTTACCATATGTAATGTGAATCTCCCTGCTGGCCATGGAATCAAAAACTGTTCCCCATTGTAGATGGACACTGTAATTTTTATGCCCACTTACATATCTATTTCGAAAACATACAACTTTAGTGGGTTTTGAGATCAGCCATCATGAAAAACTAACAAGGAAGCGGGGGTAGAAACTGGTTGTGAAATTGCAAGTAGCACAATATCACACAAACTTAAACTTAATTGGTTTCAGAGATTATTCAAAATGTGCATACAACAAACTATCATCTTTTTAATGCCAATGCATGACATAATTAGTTTATTCAAGAGTTAATTTGAAGAAATGTGACATTTAAAACCTGTTATTTAAACATTCAAAAATTGTATAAATATCATTAATATAACAAAATGTATATTGATAAAACCA